GTGAGCACATGGTTTTGACTCAGTGTATGTTCAATTTGCAGTTCCTTTGCAGAAACTGATTTAAAACATTGGCCATTTTGTGGATGTCAGTTTAGGAAGAACTAGGTAATAATAGTCTGCAATATGCAATTGAGCACCTAATGTTTTCTTTCTAACCCCAGTAGAGAGTCTTGTTCCCCTCCTGCGTTCTAATATTTCCTTTCTCTCTGTGCCTCCATGTTGCCTAGCACAGTGCTTTACAGTCAGTAGATATCCTTTGAATTTCCTGCATTAGATCAAATATAGCTTTACTAGGTACAACTTGACAGTGGGTTTTGTAGTTGTTGTTTTAAGACAGGGTCTCATTGTGTAGTTCAGAATATTCTTGAACTCACACTGGCCTCAAACTGCACCATTCTCCTGCCTCATCCGCCTGAATGCTGGGATTACAAGTATGCACCATCACACCCAGCCACAAGGATTTTTATGTTGTTGTCTTTTTTTTTAGAACAGTGAGAGCAAAATAACTTATGGGAATATAAAGATAAGAGCTGAATGAGCACACCACTAATGGAGAGAGGGAATGATTTTCACAAAATCAGTATTTTCCCCATCCCATCTCCATTTGCTGTCAACCAAAGCATATGGTTGGCCCTTCAGGATTAAAAAGCAACATGCTTGTGCACACGTACGAGATACTTTATATACAATAAACCAACAGGGAAGGGGAAAATGAACGAATAGAGCATAGTAGAACCAAACTGCCGTTTTTCAATTGAGAATGAATCCTTGGACTGTAAGAACAGTGCTCTGGAATAAAGGTGCTGCAGTCTCCCTTCTTAGCAGACACCTGCTATCTGTTGGTGGATCACATCAATTATATCTTTACCCCCAGTTCCAACTGTGCTGCTGAGTCTACTGCATTTGCGAGCGGTCCATCCAATCAGAATGTGATCTCCCTCATTGACAATCCTGCCGTTCACAGTAGCTTTCACTGGGATACTAAGTGTTGAATCCTTCTTAATTTTAAATCACACCACAGAGCCTTCCTACCCCACCACATTAATATGATTGTTGTTCTTAGTCTTGACTCCTTCCTTGGGCTTTTCATTGACCTTAGGGAAGACAGAGTCTCCTTCACTGCTGCCTCACAGAAGACGTACCAGGTCTGCACCAAAAAGGCACACAAGCAGCAGCCTTTATTTTTTTATTTTGATACAGGTTCTTGATAAATCACTAAGTTCCCCAGACTGTGTCCAAACTTGCCATCCTCCTGTCTCAGCCTCCCAGAATGCCAGGAAGCTTTCATGAAGGTTTAAGAGTTGGCCCGATAGTTGAGACCAATTTCTGGTTCCTGCCTTAGGCCCCTTGTGTCTGCTAAATAGTGTCCAGTCAGTAAAATAGACCCAAGACAAGGCCAGGTTCCAGTGCCTCGTGGGTGTGGCCTTTTGCTGATTTGTCGACTAAGTAATAAAGTCAGTTATGAGTTTGACTAAGGGCAAATCAGGTAATCTCTTGATCCTTCCAAGTTTGCTCTGCTTCCCATAATCTGCCTTTCTTTCTTTCTTTCTTTCTTTCTTTCTTTCTTTCTTTCTTTCTTTCTTCTCTGATTCTATTTAATTGTTACTCTTAAAAATTTCTTATTTATTGGAGGCTGATCAGACCTCCAATCACCTCACCAAGGGTATCATGGCAGGACAACAAAAGACAAGACAAGCTCTTTACTGCATAAAAGGGGGCCCAGGAGGGTCAGAGCTCTTATCAGGCTGAGACGTTGTCTCCTGGAGCTTGCCACTGTTTATTGAACACACAGCTTCTTGAAGGGGTGAGGGGCGGTGCAGGGAACAGAGAAGTGGAGAGCACTGACGCGAGTAGGGTCCTAGCAACAGGGGAACAAGACATTCTAGGAGGAACAGCTCATAGATTAATGGGAAATTTGTTCTTTCCCATAGATTAATTTCTGCCTCCATAGAAGTTTTCTGTATGAGTCATGCTGCCCTCAGCTGCACTATTGTCCTGCCACCCAAGACGTCGCAGCCTCATGGATCACTGAGACCTCTGCTGTAACCCGTGGTGTGGGGAGCTGTTCCTTTCCCACACAACAACTGCTGGCTCTTCAGGCGAGCCACTGTGGGCTATAGGCAGATTCAGACTTTTAATATGAAAAGCCCATTTATGAATTTGCAGCTCATTCATGGTGGTCTCCATCGCTTATTAAAAAAAATTTTTTTTAGTTGTATTAATACATATTTGCAGTACATAATGTTCGCATTCCTTGTGGGGTGTTGGTACAAGCACATAACACATCTCAATTCCTTTGTTCTTCCCTTTCCCTCCCCTCCCTCCCTTCTCCCTCCATCTTTCGATCCCCTTCTCATCTGGGAAAGATCTATCTCCCTACTTCCTAGTATCTCTCTTGTATCTTGCTCTTTATTTACACTTTGAGTTTCTCATATAAGAGAAACCACATAATATTTAAGCTCGAGTGTCTGATTTACTTCACCTAACTTTGACTCGTTTGTCTTTCTTTATGGCAGAGTAATATTCCAGAAGTTCTAAGGAAGGACAGTCTAAATCTCATGACAATCGACAATCTCTCTCTGTTTTTATTTGGTCCCCTTCATTTTCTTGGCCAAAAGATGAGCACATTCTGCAGCCTCTTCTTTCCTTTCTTTTCTTTCTGTTTTGTTTTGTTCATTTTGAGACAGGATATCACTATGCGTGTATAAGTTCAGACTGCCCTGGAACTCACTATTTGGACTAGGCTGGCCTCAAATTCAAGGCAATCCTCCTGCGTACTGGGATTGTAGGTACCTGCCACCTCATCTGGTCTTTTTTCTTATTTTCTTAGTAAGCTGTTTCTTCAGACCAATGCACAAGTATTAATGTTAGAGGACACACTGAGGGACAAAAAATTGGATTTCTGGTGCTTTGGTCCTGGATTCTTAACTTTCCTCATTTAAGGGCTTTCTGATAACATATTGGAGGACATCATCTTCTCCAGAGAGATTGGAAAGTTTATGGATTCTGCCAGCTCTTTTTTCTTTCTTTTCTTTTCTTTTCTCTTTCTTTCTTTCTTTCTTTCTTTCTTTCTTTCTTTCTTTCTTTCTTTCTTTCTTTTTCTTTTCTCTCTCTCTCTCCCCCCCCTTTCTTTCACTGAACCCAGGGTCTTCACTGGGCTACATTTTCACCCTTTTTTTTTAAATTTTTGAGAAGTTCACTAAGTTGCCCAAGGTGGGCTCCAACTTACAATCCTCCTGCCTCAGCCTCCAAGAGTTCTGGAATTACAGGTATATGTCACCACACCTGGCTATATTAATCCTAAAGTGACAAGGTACAGTAGTATCTGCAGGTCCAGAAATATCTTTCTCTCCTGTTCTCACAATAACCGAGTTCAGAATGCTTGTGTTGGCATTCATTCCAGCAGATCTGTGCTTTCTCCCTCCAGTTCTCCTTGGTCTGTAACAACAGCACCCTTTACCTTGTGGCAGGTGGAACTGGCCAAGGGTCAAGTGCTCCCGCTTCATGGAACTTCACTATCATTCCCACCACCAATTTGGACCCCATCCAAAGTGCCACCAGCAACTTCTGTGGCCTCCACTGCTCATGAAAAGCACAGAATTTTCATTCATGCTGAAAATTCATCCCAGCAGCCAGAGGCTGGGAGGGGGGTGCTCACCTTCCTTTTGGTGTGGCTGATCACCCACACTGGCTCATTGGTGCCTTTTGCCTTAGCTTCATCCTCTTTGTGGTTGAGGTGTTTTAAGGACAATCTTATCTAATCCCATCTTCAGGGACCCACAGTAAGGCACCAATGAGTGAACCTTGGTTGTCTTCATTCAGCCCTTGCAAAATGGAGGGAGACACCACACCTTCCTTTGTGAGGCAGTCACGGAGTGGATGCCCTTTCAAGGTCAGCGTTTTGCTCAACTTGTGACCTTAATGGGAGCACTGAGCACTGGATGAGAATCTGTCTCTGTCACCTGCTGGAACAGGCCTTGTGTCTTAGTCACTTTCTTTGTCCTTGACACACAATACCTGATACCCAGAAGTTAAAGGAAGAGAGGTTAATTTTGGCTCATGGTTTCAGTCCATAGTTAGTTGGCTGGCTCTAAGGCAGGATTGCGTGGCAGGGGAATAGCTGCTCACCTCATGGTGTCCAGGAAACAGAGAGCGCCAGGGGAGGAGCTAGGGACAGAGTATACCCCATCAGGTCCCACCCCAAGTGAGCCAGCTCTTCCAAACCAGGCCCCACCTGCTAACAGCACATCGAGTTGTAAATTCATCAGTGCATTAATCTTCACCCATCAGTGGATTGTCCACTGATGAATCAAGCACCCCCATGATCCAAGCACTTCCCAAAAGCCCCACTTTATGATCACATGAGGCTCTAGGAGGCTATCTAGGTATAAACCATGACACCTTACCCTGTCACAGTCCCCTGTGGTTGTCTGAGTCAGCCCTGTGGGATCCAATCATAATCCGTCTTCTTGCTGGCTTGTGATTTAGGACAATTAACTACATCTCTCTCACTCATTTTTTTCTCTCCACAGTAAGAAAAAAGTCTAGGTCTTAATTCTCAGGGTTGTTTTGAAGAAGATACAGGAGAATTATATCAAATTTAGTAGAGTGCTTGGAATGTGCTCATCCTAGCTACTCATTTTATTACTATCACTAACTATAAGAAGACTGTGGCTATGTTGGAACTGGCCAGGATCAACAGTACGATTGCAGCTTCAATGTTTTCAAAGTGACCCCACCTTTTAGACGTACATCTTTATTGCCAGATGAAACTGTTCCCCAAATACATCTTGTCTGTATTAGGGTATATGTTCCTCAAATTCTTCTAAATTTGGTATAAATCTACATAGGCTGAATAACTGTAATCAATATCTAAACACATCCACATTGATCAGAATTCAGGCTTTATAATTGTTCCATGAAAAGATCTAAAACTTAATTCCAAATACTTGTAGTTAAAGTCTGCAGAGCAGGACATTATTTACAAAACACATTGAACATTGAAAGAAAAAAGATTTTTATTTGAAGGGCAAGATAGATTTAGAATTGTTTGCTTCTGAAAAGCCCATTTCCCTCAAGCCTAACGTTTGAAATTCCATCTTGAGCAATGAAGTTATTTTATACAATCTCATTAAGCAATTTAATCGAAACAGCATTTGGCAGAATAACACATGGCATAGACATATGGCTCTAAAACAGTATTATTTAAATCCAACATTCAACTTCAAAGATAGGTTGCCACAATATACTTATAAATATATAATCGTGGTTGAAAAATACATAAGTATTTAAAGAAAGTAAAATATAAACCTACCATGTATCAAGAAAAACAGTAAGGATGCAAAAGCAAAGGAAAAGTAGACTTTTATCCCCCATTTCCTTCTTTCCCATGAGCTGGGCTCTTTCTCTGCCTTAGAGATACTCATTTAAGTTGGAAGTTGTAACATAATGTGGAGAGGGATATTGATCAAATATCCTCGCTCGTCATGTTTATTTGGACCTTTTCGGGAACTTCCAGAGTCAGCTGGATGGGGGGAGTTTGAACAAAGCAGAAGTAAAGCAGAACCCCTTCAGACATTCTTGTCCTAACGTGACAGACAAGATCCAAGCCCCACCAGAGGAGGCAGCGACTCAAGGATGTTTGGCCGGCAAAGTCGATCATCAACAAAGAGTAGATGGAGCATCTGGCTGAAAAGCTTTGGGGCTATATAACACCTGGAATCTCTGACTTAGGAAATTCTCATCAACCCAATATACACAGTCATGCACTGCATGACCACATTTTAGTGATAGGCTGCATATATTATGGTGGTCCCATAAAATTATAAGGGTACTGAAAAATTTCTATAGCCTAGTGATGGAGTGGTCCTCACCTCATTTCCTACGTGTGTAACCTCATCATTCATGTATTGTTGGTGATACTGGTATAAACTTACTGTACTGTCAGTTGTATACAATGTAAAACAATTCAGTACAGTACAACATGCTTGATAATGATGACATTGCTGGTTTATGTTTTTAGTATATGCTATGGTTTGAGGTGGTTTAATTATGTGCCCCAAACATCCCCAGGGTAGTAAGAATGGGTTTTGGTTGGTGTTGTGGACCTTTAAGAAGTGGGGCCATAGAGGAGGTCCTTAGATCACTGGAGTCTCGCTGTTGAAGAGGATGTGGGATCTGGTTCTCCGCCCTCCCCTCTCCTTCTGCTCTCTCCCTAGCTCTGCTCTGGTTGGAAATTTGCTTCTACATGTGCTGTAGCCATGATGTTCCACCATCTGTCACTCTCACCAGAGTACAAGCCAATGGGGCACCCCAATCTTGATCTTTAAGTCATCCAAACTGTGAGCTAAATGGACCTCTCTTTCATATGCAGCCTGTGTTGGGTATTTTATTATAGTGATAGGAAGCTGACAAATGCACTACACTATACCTTTTAGTGCTGTCTTAGAGTGTATCCTATTTATAAAAATATATTGTCATACAGTCTGCCATGTCACACCAGCAGACACCTCATACAGCTCGTGTTTATGGTGTCTCTGGTTTGCATGTTGAGTGATTGACCTAGACCAGCTAGGTTTGATTAGGATGTTTGTACAGCAACAAAATTGACCTACAATATGACAAAAAATTGCCTAATGACACATTTCTCAGAATGTATCACTGTTGTTGACTGCAGTAGACTTTCAAGTGAAAAGGTAGCCTAAACTTGTTTTTCTGGATTGAAGAAATGTATAGGGTGTTGTATCCTTTAAAACAGACTGGGTCTTTCTGAGTGAACAGGACAAGGAAAGAGAAGAAATGATTTGATAGCTCAATTTGCAGAAGTCACTTTTATAGTGTGCACATACCTGGTGACTAGATTTCTATTTTCTGATCCACTGTGTCCCATGAAGGGCAAAATCACAATGGAATAGGGGAACAAATTGTCCAATTCTGTTATATGGCTATGTGCATTGACACTTGTGCTACAGTTCTGCAATCAATAGTCACACTTGTGACTTCTTTTGGTGACCACCAGCCTATAAATCATGACTGAATGTGCTTGGAAGACACACTGGAGAAGGGCCTTTTAGGGGATGGTAAACTCGCATATGTACCTCTTGCTACTACGACAGACTTCATCACTCCACTTCCCCTGAGCTGATTGGGAGAAGAGGACACAGTTTTCCTTCTTGCCACCACTGGGCTGTGCACGGTCCCAGTTGAGGAAGGAGATGGCCATTCCATTGACATCAAGAAACTTGCCTTCTGTGGCCATATCATTGATGCCCAGCCAAAAGTCATTGACACCTGGCAGGCTCTTCTTACCATAGTCTCGGAGGGCGTTGATTTCGTCAGAGTTCCTGGGGACAACCAGGATCCCTCCCTTGGAAATACAGTCTTCATTAGCTTCATGGAAATGCTTGATGTCTTCTGAAGCAAGGTAGCATTTCCTGTGAAATTTTGTGCCTCGGAGACAGACTGTAGAGACGCGAAATTTGATATATTAAGATGTTCTTTGAGTGTAATATGCCTAGTACTAGACCTAAACAATAGTGATGAATATTTGTGGAATGAATGATGTGTGATGATAATAATGAATTAATATTCATTAAATATTTGTATGTGCCAAACCCTGGGCTAAGCATTTTACATAAGTGAAGATATAATAATCACGATAATGTGGTGATGTGATTTTTTTCAACCCACCATTTATCAAGATATTGAGGCTTAGAGAAATTGTTACCATAACAACTTAGCGTGTCAAAACCGTAACCTACATAGCATGTAAAAATCACATTACACAGACTCGAGTCTGCCCCACCCTTGAAACATGCATGGTCTTAAGTCCCATGGGCTGCTTTGATATACACATGTACTCTAGCTTATATAGCTCTACAATCTGCTGAATTTCCTTACAAATTTTGGAATTGGATGGGATTTCATATTTATTTTAAAAAACAATGAGAAAGAAAAAATCTGAGTTTACATGTGGAAAAGCTATGGCTTTCTTAAGCGGATAGCTGAGACCTGGTAATAATGTTTACCGGAATAAAACAAACATAAAGACAGTTTTAGGGCAAAGTGCTGGAAAGTCAGGCTCCAGAGTAATCAGGCCTGGGTTTGGGTCTCCTCTTTGACATCTATTTGTTGTGCAAATCATATACATTCTATCTCATCTGTGAAATGAGGATCGTTATAATAGCATAAATTATTGGAGGAGTTAACATTAGTTGTTGGAGGATTAATGTTTATGAAGTATTTATAGTGTCAAAATGTGGATAAAAGTTAAAAAATTCATTCCCTTTTAGCATGAGCATTTGACCTTTCTTTAACTTTCTAGTTCTATACCCCTGGAAACCTGATAAAGAAAATGTGTCATTCATGTTACTAGGAGGCAATGCGTATGGTAAAGGTGACCCTGGGCTGGTAACATACATGAGTCCCAGGAGTTATAAATACCTAATGGAAAGCTGAAACTTCGCTCTTCCTTGAAGGTATTAACTTGTATTAGGGTGGCTGTCTTGTGGGGGACCCTTAGAAGTCTGCTGGGGTTGGCATGAGGGATATCGGTTCCTGGGGTTAGGAGGTAGGGCTGTTTGGGACTTTCCTGGTATACTCTCATTTCCTTACCCCTGGAGAATGCTTGTGGACAGCAGTATGCACAGCTACATGGGCAGGAGTGGTGGTGGTGGAGGTGTTCCCAGGTTAAGGAACAGTAGACACAGCCCTATTTGCTGGCAGTAGCTCTCACCAATGTCCTGTGTGCTTTGTGCTGATCAAGTGTGGCCTGGGAGAATCCTGTGACCCTGTCTCAGTTGAATCTCAGTAAATCTCCAAATGGCACTTAGCAATCCAATAATTATTCCAATACATCAAATTCCTTTCAGCCTTTAATGTATGTCCTTTACTCTGTTTCTCGATTAGGGAATAATTATCCACTGACTTTAAAAATGCATTCTTGAAGTGGCTCTTTTTATTTCTATACCACCCATCGATAGGAGAATGAGGTGGCAAGTCAAGCTGATTTCCCAACAAATTATAAGCTCCCAGCTTTGGGGTCCTTTCCCGTGGATACATCTCTGGTTTGTTAATATTTGTCTTTAAAAAGGAGCTACCCACAACTCAGTATGTGGATTAGATTCATTCAAACCATTGGCAGTGTCCAGTGTCTTTCCGCATCCTTCAGAAGGAGGCGTTGGTGGGGCAGTGGGGGTCTCACCTGTCTGCAGGGCTTGCATCTCCTTCAGCGCATTGACTTCTCTCCAGAGCTTTTCCACTTGAGACTTCAGGTCTCCATCTTTTTCTGGGAGGTATTTAAGGGTGGAGCAGGGTAGGTGGGATGGAAAGCAAATGATTAAAATAAAATAAAGTTAAAAATAAAGAGCTGGGTTGTAGCATTCAAGGCTAGAGTGATTTGGATGAAACCAAGCCAAGTGTACGTAAAAAATAATGCATGAAATAACTTAGGGAAGAAGATTCCTGAGGGCTTTGTGGGGATCTCAACACTGGAAGGTCCTTCTGTGAGGTAGAGCACCTGCCTCTCTCTCCAGTCCCATCATTCATGGGCTTTCAGAAAATGAGCAACCTTGGCCTAATCAAAATTCCAGAATGCACAGGAACTCTTGACAGATTGGCAGCTTATGAGTGCTTTGAAGGTGGGAATTAAATCATAATAAGTAGTAAAAGTAAAAAATATTAAAAGCCACCCTACACCTTCTGCCAGGAGGTTAATTCTTTCAGTGTTCCTATGAGATAGACACTACCCTTAGCTCCACTTTACAGAAGTAGAAACAGAGGCACCTGAAACTGAACTAGGCCACCCAGCTAGAAAGGTGCAGAGCCGGACAGGAATTTCCTGAACGAATGTTCTCTTCAGATCCCTCCTGTCTACTTCTGCACAGTGACTGTCTCTACTTCCTTGGTTCCAACACGTGGCCTAGATAGAGTAGCTAAAGCTTGATATGAACTGTCCCCAGCTGTCTCTTTGTGGTGATTCCATATAGAGAATCTGTTTTATCTCCAGGATTTTTCAAGAGTCTAAAATCTGAATGTGCTAATTCATTGTCCCAGTGGAATATATGCTTCTAAAATTAGGAGTTTTTATCTTGAAGTTAGGAAACTGCCTTCTGAGGTACACAGGGTGGGTCCGCCTCTGTTTCACTTAATGCTGTACATCATTTCTCTCTCTTTTTTTTTTTTTTTTGGTACCGGGGATCAAACTTGGGTCCTTGTGCTTGCACAGCAGGCAGTGAAACCACTGAGCTAAATCCCCGCCCCCTGTACATCATTTCTTAAAGCACCCAGTGATTCAGCTCAGAAATATAGCAACTCAAAGATTTTCTTGATAGGACCCTTTGAAAAGAAATAAATAAAAGGGTGCATTTAGAATGTACAACCATCAGGTGTTGGGGCCAGGCTTGCAATAGCTGCTCAAATTTGCTTCCCAGTCTTTAAGAACCAGTTGGACAAATATCATCCCCCATCCAGCTTGGCTTCTTGCTCCATTCTATTTAAGTAAGTGGCCTCTACTGGGAGACTGTAAACATCGGAATTAGCATGGAGACACATGAATTAATCTTAGTTTCCTGGGAGATCATTGTGGAAGTCATTATCCAGGTGGCTTGGCTTCCGGCTTCTATCTTTGGTTGTTAATGTGGATGAACAAAGGGAATACATTCAACAACTATTTCACTGCAAAGTTATACTTTATTCATTAATGCAATACATAATTTGTTGAGACCTATGACGCACCAGGGAGATTGTGTATGTGGAGCTAAATCACTCAATTGCTATTTTGAGTCTCTTAAAAAATTCCCTTCTACTTTATGATTGTTGTTATCCAGAATTAGACACCATATAGAAATGCAAATCAACTCTCTAGAAGAAATGACTGATAGAACCAGGATATGATGTTGGGTTGCCAGGCATGCAGGAATAGTCCCTCTTACACTACTGGATACGGGGCCTGGACTGCTGTTATCATTTGACAAATAATTGACGAGTCTGATTAACTCAAAATTTTACTTCTAAAAATGTGTCATAACATCCTAGCATGGGGATCAATATATGTGTACAAAGCAATTCCTTGGAGATATTGCAGCAGAAAGAGATGTATTAGAAAGCACACAAAAAATTCACCAAGCCAGGCATGGTGGTGCATGCCTACAATCCCAGCACTTAGCAGGCTGAGGCAGGAGGATTGCTGTGAGTTTGAGGCCAGCCTGAACTACATAGTGAGTTCAAGGCCACCCTGGACTACATAGCAAGACTGCCTCAAAACAAACAAACAAACAAAAAATCACCAACAGAGAACAGATTAAGTCACAACCTGCCCAAACAGTGGAATAGGATCCAGCTGTTAAGAGGAATGAAATATCTCTTATGTTGATAGCTGTCTAAGATTCAACAGATGAGATAAATTCATTTGCCTGCCAAACATTTTACATAGCTGATCTGGAACCCTTACTACTCAACAGTTAATAGTAGATAATACTGTGACAAGGACTGGGGCAGGAAAGGTGGTGTTCACTTTTGATTTTATACACTTTGGTATTATTTCAAGATACTTAACTATTATAAAAGTGTGTAAGTTGGAAAAAACTGTCTAGAACATGTAAGCATTGCTTCACCTCCTGTATAGTTTACTTTTTTGGATTTAATGGCAAAGATAGTTTTAGAGAGGTGATATTTAAGATGTATATCCAATGGATTTTTTAAAAACATGTGGGCTATAGCAGCAGGGGGTAATTGTGTGTGTGTGAGAGAGAGAGACAGAGAGAGAGAGACAGAGACAGAGGAGAAGAAGGAGGAGGAAGAGGAGGGGGAGGAGGAGGAGGAAAGGAGGGGCAGAGAGTAAATGCATTCCCATATTCCTGTCCCCTCTCCACCTCCCTACTGAGTGGTCACAAGTTTGCCACTTCTTCCTGGTAGTGAAAGGCTGGCCAGAACACTATGCCACATCACCCAGTATTTTCTCTCTTCCTTCTTCTTTTGTCTTCCTCTTCATCAATATACTTTATGTACTCATGAGACATATTTTAACTTTTCATTAAAAGAGGGAAGAGGGAAGTCAAATATTTTATGAAGAAAAGACTCCACTTAGGAAACCTTGTATCAGACCTCAGTTTTATAAATCAGTGCCCCTGCTAAAGGGCCCTTTAATCATCAGAACAAAACACAAGACGGGCTCGCCTGGAACCCTCCAGCTGTCTGTGACATGTCAAACCTTGGCTGTAACTTTGCTGGTAATCTTGGTGGGTTTTGTTTCTAGTGAAGTGAAATTGGTGAGGAAAGAGTTCTGTGATATTTACCTTGAAGCATTTTCAGAGGAAAAAGACTCAGAGGATGAAATAAAAGATCAGCCTGTGTCTGGTTGCTTTTTTCTTTTGCTTTGGCTTCGGCATATTGTAGACACATAACTCTCACTTCCATTCTTTGAAACTTTAAAAAAAGTCTTAGTCCAATTCAAACCACCCCAGATTTGTAAGTGCTTAGAGTCAATTTTGTGTCATAATGTCTGAATGATTACCTGGCCTTTCATATTTATATATTTTTAAGTTAAAGAGGTTTAATTCAATTCTCTATCACGTGAACAATTTAAATATGATAGACAGTCTCCTAAGACTGCCAGAAATATGAAAATATATCCAAATGATAACCAGTGAAACAAAAGAAGTCACAAGTACCAGTAGCTCTATCCTCGGCTACACATTTAATAAGAGTAAGTTATCTTACTCTGTGTTTGAGTGGAATCACTCAATGTCTATGAGTGAGTGTACTTCTCTTGTCAGTTTTTTCTCCTTGATCCATCATTCATAATACCTGATGTTCACACATCCAAATGAGGTTGTGGAGTGAGCTTCCATATATCTAAACCCAAACTGACCAAAGGTACAAAATACAGAAATTTTTTACAGTGCAAAAGTATTCTTTCCATTAAAAAAAAAAGTCCACCAAATCATTCCTTTAAATACCAGGCTGTCCCAGAGAGTCAAAAGGTCACTCCACCCCCAGAAAGCTACTTGCACATGATGGCCTGGTGCTGTCATTCAAGGGGACAGGCATTCCCCTTGCCCGTTGCCCGCCCACACCTAGGAAGCCTGAAGTTGTGCTGGGCTGAAAAGTCCCCTTACCTTTCACACGGCGTTTGCTGTGGTTCCTGGCTTTTAATTTGGATGGGTGGCCGGTGGTCTGGTCCAGGAGTAAGCAGATGACCAGGATGCAAATTACAAGTCCATTCTTTGCCATGGCTCTCGGGCAGGTGAGCCGGCAGGGCCACTTGGCCAGCTCCTCTGAAGCAGCCGTGGAACAAGCAGACTGCAGGGCTGCATGGTGCTCTGGGCTGCTCAGGGCCAGCTTTATAAAAGTGAGCTGGAAGGCTGGCTGAGATCCCACTGACGAAACACTGGAATGAGGTGGCTCCTTGTTCCTGTGCCTCTCCTTGGGCTTTTCCTGTATTTGTATTTCTCTTGCACTTAGTCCATTCACTGTTTTGGAATGTATCAGAGTTAACTACGAGTTTTGCCTGCTCTCTTTTAAGTCTGGGAAGCTCAGGATCTCTGTGAAGATCCAACACTTACATCTTTGATTTGGAGCTCTGAAGTTTATTAAATGGTCTGGAAAATGGATTCAAGTTCAGTTTTCCGAGCATGGCCTCCAAAACCCAAAGAACGCTAGGAAAGTTACTGAACACACAGACACACACAGACACACAGACACACAGACACACAGACACACACACAGACACACAGACACACAGACACACAAACAGCTGTGGCTGTGAGATGCCATTGCACCAAGCATTTAAACCAGGTGTCTATATTCTCTTGTATCTGCTCAGCTCAAGTGGAGCCTAGGAATGGCTTGCATGATGGGATTTATGGAGATAGCTGAAGGGGAATTTGATGATAAACTATAAGGTCCCCCTCTATTAGGGCTTTGTGAATGCATCAAGAATTGCATTCTTGGAAAATACCTTAGAGTAGAAAGAAAATTAAAAACATGAATTACTTCCACATAAATCAATGTAATATATCAACAATAGCCATTTTTCAAGTCCCCACCATCTGGAATTTTTGAAGCTACTCCAAACACATTAAATCACATTTCCAAGTGAATTATATAAATAATAGGAATATAATGAAAGCTTCCATGTAATTATTCTTAGCTTAATGAATAGCTTTACCAACAAGTGCTGGGACTGGGTGCTTTGCATCATAAACAATGCACTTGCCTACAGGTGTAACCAAGACAGAGTGAGTTAGACAGAGGTGAACACTTCCAGATATTCCACTTGGGGATCTGGATGGCCAGGTGCAGGTGGAAGGCAGTGGTTGTAGATTTGAAAAGTCTGAAAGCCTAAGCTCATTTTATCCTTTCCCTTTCCTTTTTCTTTTCCTTTTTCCTTTCCCTTTTCCTTTCCCTTTCCTCTCCTCTGCCTGCCTTCCTTTCCTTTTCCTTCCTTTCCTTCCTTCCTTCCTTCCTTCCTTCCTTCCTTCCTTCCTTCCTTCCTTTGTAAGAAAATCAACTAGGAAAGATCCATTTTGGCTCCTGGTTTCAGAGCCATGGTCAACTGGCTCCATTGCTTGGGCCCATGGCAAGGCAGCATCCATGGTGGAGCAAATCTGCTCATCTCATGGCCGGAAAGCAGAAAGGAACGAGCTGGGTTCCAATGTACCCTTCAAGGGCATGACCCCAGCAATGTACTTTGTCGAACTAGGTCCCATCTCCCGGAGCTTCCAGGACCTTCCAATGGCATCATTAGGTGGGGACCAGGCTTTCAATACATACACCTTAGGGTGATATTCCAGATCTGAATTATAACATGATTCGAGGACACTAGAGGGCATTGTGGAAGAGGCAGAGCTTCACATCCCAGTGCCACCAACCTTTTAGCTGTGTGATCTTGGGCAAGTCACCTCTGTGAGTCTTTTCTCATCTTAGCAACTAACAGGGCCAAGAGAGCTTACTTTGCAGGGCTGTGATAAGGATTACTCAGGACAAGAGCATAATGTCCAGTACATCATAAGACCCTCCCCATTCATCACAATGGTACAGTTTAGGGAATGCCAAGTCACTGTGGGCTTCACAGCAAGCCTAAGAGGGAAGACTTCCTCCCACTTTATGGACAATTGAAAGTGAGCCTGAAAAAGCTAAGTGGTTTTGTTCAGCATCACTAAGATCCCAAGGGCCTGAGTAGAGTTCCTGTCTAGTTTTGACTGACTCCAGAAAACCTGGGCTGTGAAAATGTGCTTTGATTTGAATACAGAAAAACATTGATCTCTAACGATTGATCAAAAATGCTTTTTGCCATGTTCCTAAATCCTTTACTGTAATTTAAAAAAATCACAAGTTATAAAATCATTGTCGAAAGCTAAGGATTTTTCTTTTTTTGTATTAAATTCTTTTATTGGTACATTGTAGATATACAACACAATTACATTTCTCATTGGGAATTGTACCTTTACATAATGCATCTTGGTTCTTATTTTTTCCCCATTCCTAGCCCTCCCTTCACTCCCTCCACCCTTCCCTATTTACAAAGACTTTATTTCCATTTTTTCCATTTCTCATCATTTTTGCTAAGGATTTTTCTTACATCTTTGATCTGTGCTGTGTTCAAATGAGGTTTATAAGGACAAGGTGATTTTTCTTTCTATTTTTGCCTATTTTTTCTATTTTCTTTCTATTTATTCAAAATAAATCTATATTGTTTTAAGGGTCCTTCTTCTTTCTGGTAAGACCTCTGACACCTTTTTGATTGGTTTTCTTTGTGCCCAATGCTAAAGCCCATGTTTTCTTCTTTTTAAAACAAATTAGTAGAGTTTATTTTTAGAGCAGTTTTAGATTTATGGACACATCGAGCAGGAAGTACAAGGGGTTCCCATATGTTCCAACATTTGCACCCCAGAATTCACTATACCATTAAAATCCTGGGTAATTGTGGCATATTTGTAACAACTGATGACCACTCATTTATATATAAGTATTAACCGAAGTCCATAATGAGCAGTGGGATTCACTAACGGTGTACCTTCAGTGAGCTTAGACAAGTGTATAATATCCTATTACAGCATCGCACAGTATGGACTCATGAAGCCCACGCTTTTTGCTTTTAATAAAACATGTGAGAAATGATCTTGTGTTCATCTCTTCTCAGGGATGGTTCTTAGGAGCCTCTGCTGCTGGCTTCAATCCCCTGCCCTCTCTCAATAGATATCTTATTCCTTCTTTTGCTCTAGCTGGAATACCTCCCAGTTGGATGTCCTCCCTTCACATCCACATTTCCAGTTCCCCCTTTCACTCTTCTAGGTGGACGTCTCACAGATATTTCAAACCCATGATAGTTAAGAATTAAAGTCTGGATTCCTTCCCCACTAATGTGCTATGAATTTTTAATAGTCTCATTTCCCCCCAAGTCTTTCCCATCACAGCTAATGTCTCCATCCTCCACTCAGCCGGCCAATTCAGAATCTTGGGGGTCATCTCTGAGTCCTTGTCCTTGTTGTTAAACACCCCTTCCACGACCTCGTCAGCTGCACATGTTGTGGTTTCTTCCCCCAGACACACATTGATTGGTGACTTTTGTTCTCGCCTGCCCTCTTTGCACCTGTCCAATCCGAATGAATGTTCATTGTTCATCATTGTTGTGATTGTCACTCTCCTATTTAAAAATCCCCTGAATCTTTCCATTGTACCTACAGTAAAACAGGACTTCTCATCATGGTTTAGGAGGCTCCCCTGCCTGGGGAGATCTTACCTGGTTCTTACTGGTGATATTCGCCAGCCACAGACACCTTGTGCCACTTTGGAGTCGTATCTTAGTCTGTTCCCTACCCCCACTTGTCCTTTCTGCAGGTTCTTTCTCTGTCCTGCTGCTCTGCTTATCCCCTAAACTTGAACTCTTGGTGTGTGTCAGTTGACTATAGCTGAACACTTCTTGTCCTTCAGGTCCGAACTCTGCACCACCTGCTCAAACATGCTTTCTCTAATCTGGGAAGGTCCTTCTCTGCCATTTACCATCCAACTACCCTGCTTCCTTAATAACTCCTATCACAATTTGGTGCCTTTAAAGATTAGCTTACTTACTGGGTCTTGGGCTGTATGCTCCTGGAGGGTGAGGGATGTGGGGGGTTAGCTCAACTGTGTCTGTACTGCAGTACTGGCCACGTGGTATTTCCTTAAGAAGTATGGGTGTGTGACAGGACAGCTTTGCTGTGTTTCCTGCCAATCTTCCCTTCTTTCAGAGGATCCAGCAATAATGCAATAGGCCACCGAGGCACAGGGCAACACAGCCCATGGAAGGACAATGAGACAAAGCCTCACTGTGTTCTGGGCCTTGGAGTCACGCTAAGAACTGCCCCCTCGGCTCTGGGGAAGCTCTCAGTGTCTTGCAGGTGCTTGGCTCTGAGGAAAGAGAGGGAAACTTTCCTTTAACTTTCTTTCCACCTGCAGGGATTCCAAATCCAGCCTACGTATGGCCCTTTGGAGAAAAAGCAGAGGAAACCAAGTAAACTAAGTAGCTGACAGGATTGGTCAAGAAAAGAGGAAGTAGGATGGGGGTTTGAATGAGGAGTTGGATCCAAGCACCTTCTCAGTTACGGATCTGTGTCTCTGTCACAAATGCTGAATGACATCAGATGTGGCTTGTCCCTTAAAGTGAGCTCCTCCTCCTAAAACTTCAACAAGAAAAGCTCGTATGATAGTAATGATCTGAAAAAAAAATTACATCAAGAGCTACACACACATCAAAGATAATGGGGCTGCTGGCCCTTTCCCCACCTTGTTTAGTGGCCTCCTTCTGCTTAGAGGCTGAACAGTTTCTTTTTTGTGGAGCGGGATGATGTCAGTAGCTTGTCTGCTGGACCTGGGCTGGACCTGAGCTTCTGAAAGGACTATTTAAGAAGAAGCATGCATTTATAGTCAGGGAATAGGAACTATAAAAATATTGCCTTTAGACAAAAAGTATTTTGATGGGGATTTTAAAACTGTCACCAAGGTTTTATTTTCTTAAATAAATGTCTGTTTGGAACACATTCCTCGGCCACGCTGTGTAATTAGTGTTTATTCCACTGGTTGCTATTTTAAAGTTGCTCTAATCTGTTTTCCAGAGTCTCGAATTCTAACCAACAAATCCATCCGGTCTCGTTGCTATTTGTCTATTAATACTCACAGCTGAACAGGTTCGAAAGCGGCGTTCAGAGGTTCAAGGGCAGTGTGTAGGGGAGGTCACAGGACTGAACTTGGATATGGTACAAGCAAGCTGACATGCATGGAGGAAAGATTTGTTATGGGACACATGCAAAGTTGCCTTATTTCAACTATGGCTATTATTCATGGCTGTGACTGCTGAAAATGTCACAGAATTTGAAGAGAGAGCTGGTGACAGGTTTTAGCAAAGAGGCTTAGTGGGGCAACATCGACTAGGACAAAGAGCAAGAACTCTGAAGATTTGAGATTAATATTTCAGATATCACTTGTTAGTTGTGTGCCAGTGGTCAGACTGTCATCTCTGAACCCTGGGGTCCTCACTTCTCTCACAGAGCGGTTGAGAAAACCAGATCATGTGTATTGCATTAGTCAGTGCTCACCAGAGAAACAGACTTAATACAAGATCTATAAATATACAAGGATTTACAAAGTAGGCTTATAGTGGCCGCCCACAGAGTCAAGTGTGGAAAAGTGCAAAAGAGCTGTCTGCATGCTAGAAACCCGAAGGATCCAGTCGAAGGTCGAAGGTCGAAGGTCAAAGGCCTGGAGCCCACTGTAGAGTCCCATGCAAGTTTGTATCAGGAGACTGAAGAGTCTTCACTGGAAGCCAGGAGTCGATGTCTAAGGTGAAGGTGAAGACTGGAGCTCCTCCGAAGATGTAGAAGCGAGTCTTCCTTCTTCATTTCCCTTTTATTCCTTTCAGGTGACAAGCCTACCCAGGGTGGGTCTTCTGTCTTCAGTAAATGCCTTCAGCCACACCCAGAATAATCTGATCCAATTTAGTTGGGCATTTCTTACCCAAGTTGAGTACTCACAATCAGTTAACTGTCACATGTATAAAATACTCAAGGCCACACATTGTTGTTGTAGGTGCCTGGGCTTCCCTTCACTGCTGTCCTACTGATACGTGACATTTTATACGTGTCCCCAACTTCACAGGCTCGGTTCTATTGTATCTACACTGAACATCTATCATAGAACTTTTAAAACATGCTGTGTTAGCCAGTTTTCTGTTGTTGTCACAAATTACCCAAGAGAAATAAACTTAGAGGAGAAAAAGTTTATTTTCATTCATGTTTTCAGAGGTTTCATTCTATAGTCAGCTGGCCTCATTGCTTTAGGTCTTGAATGGGGCAGAAGCATCTGAGCAGAAGGGCATGAAAGATGCTCACTTTATGGCAGAGAGGAAGCAGAGAGAGTGACAGATTCAGAGAGGAAGGGACCAGGGATAAGACATAGTCATGAAGCTTATGCTTCCATGGTCCATTCCCTTCAACTAGGCTCTATCTCTCAAGTTTCCATCATATCCTAATAATGTCATCAAGTTATGAATCTATCAATGAATGAATCTACTGATGAAGTTAGAGCCCTAATAATCCAACTACCTTCCATAAGCCTATCTTCTGGCAACCAAGCCCTAAGAGTATGGCCCTTGGGGAACATTTGAGATCCAAGTCATAAAATATACAATTATTTTATACCTATTCCCCACCCCTGCCCCATATTATGGACTTATCTTGTCCATGGATTTATCTTATTCGCTTGTGATTTTTTTAGACTAGAGCAGCCCAGTACAAATGTTCAATAGCCACATGTGACTAGTGGCTGCCATATTGGTTAGCATATTTCTGGTGACAAGCAAAATGGGTACTGCTTAATGGACCTTCATAAAGTTGTATTACATGAACTAGCTCAAACAAGATATTGGTGACTTAGATCCAATTACACTTAGACACAGTGCTAGAATTTTCTCTTAT